TATCTGTTTTAGCAATTCGCACAGCGAGAAGATGCGTTATGCGAATGGTTGTGGGGTTTGCTCTCTGTTTGATTATTCGCATAACGAATCAGTGCGCTGAGCACCTAGATGTGGTCTGGGGTCACTGCTAGATTTATTAGAATAGCGAGGGGGTGTACTCTGTGATTGTTTGGGAGGTCTGGACCACTGTCTAGACTTTCGCATAGCGAATTGGGGCGCTATGCGAGGGGTTAAGGTTTGGTACTACTAGAAGTTTATTCGCACAACGAGTTTGGGTCACTGTGCGAGAAACCTCTAGATTTGCTATACGAGAGTGTGTGCTGAACGAATGGTCCAAGTTTTAGTCCACTATTTTCTTCTTTGTCTTAAGTTGATCTAAATGTGAAGTACGTTTGAGTTTGTCTTGCAGTAAATAATTGATTATTGTCATGAGTATGTTTCCAAGTGAAGGTATATATGAATTCTAAGTGGTGAAAGTAAGTTTCAATGTGGAGTCTCTTGGTGAGATTCAAGTTTGTTTAGAATGAATGTAGGAGCTCAGTTTTGGGAGGTATCTTGAAACTCCAATGGTATTTCATTCTCATATAGAGAGGATTGATCCATGTCGTGAAGAGTAGCAGGAGATCTTAGTCTTGGGAGCTTCCAGTATGCCTCAAGGCCCGGAACAGACTAACCTTGTGAGTGTGGTAGGATGAAACCTGTTGGCAATGACTTTGCAAAGTAGTAGAGGCCATCACAAGTGGACAACTCGCCATAGCTCTATAATCATTCTAAGTCCGGACAGTCAAGTCTAGGTCATAACATGTTAGGATGTTTGAAATAGTTTATTTTGCTTGAATAACCACGTGTATGTTATGTGTGATATAATTGTATGAATTCTCTTATATCTAGCTTACCCTTCTGTTTGTGATTGTGTTTTGTATGTTTGGTGTTCTTCCTTTGCAATGATCATCGTGTGGGTGTGAGCAGAGGAAGATGAGGTGTCTCTTGAGTAGGCTTTGGATGACGAAGACGCTACATTGGACTTTAGATTAACTTTATGTGTAGTTTTGATAACTCCTTGTATATAAAGTTTTAAATTTTATAATTATTTTGGATGCTTGAAAAGTTAATACTTTATTTACCCGTCTATAACTGTTTTATCATATTATTTTGTGACTACTATAATATGGTTTATGGCTATATTTTGGGATGTTACAATAAAAATTTACATTTTATTTAAAAGTTGTATTTGAAAAAATAAATAATCTTTTCCTTTCATTAAGGTAATTAAAATAAGGAAAGAGAACTTTATGAGACTTCATGTAGAAGTGAGTCTACGCACATCCAAGATTAAGTCTATGTGATAATATATAATAAGATAAAACAACCTTTTATTAAGACAACTTTCTATAATAGGAACAAGTCTATGCAGCCAAATTTCCTCACATAAAGTGTTTGAGGTAAATGTGGTTGGGTAAAATTTAATATAAAAAATCAGAATGAAATAATATTTTTTATTGCGGTTTCACACACCAAAGTCGGAGATCGAATCTTAAAACTCAATCAAGGAATTGTGTTCACAACTTCTGGGTTTTGAGGTGAAAATATTTAAGTAATTTGTTATAATAGAAGCGAATTTAGGGCAGCAACTTTTCTCCAACAAAATGTTTGAAGTGAATTCTGTTATTTAAAAATTTAAGATAGAGTGTTGGAATAATTAAAAAAACTGTAAAAGTTGAATAAGACTCAAAACAGAAATAATTTTTATAATAATATAAATATAATTTATAAATATAATAAAACATAAATTTAGATTAATTTAGATTGAAAGACCCAAAATACTATCTCTTAACTTTAGATTTTAAATTATAGGTTTAATTGCTTCCTTTGTCCCCAGTTTGGTTGAATTGTGTCAAATTCATCCTCATTTTTAAAAAAGTTTCATTGTCGTCCTCACGTGGTATAAAAGTGTCAATTGAATCCAAACATAGAAAAAATTTGTGTCAAAGTAGTCATTTTTCCTATATCTCTGTGTCTTCCTTTTATATGTCACTTCTCTGGAGCTATGAAAAGCCTTAAATTGGATAAGGTAAAATGAATATCTGTACTTGATTGTATGAAAGGAAGACACAGATATATAGGAAAAATGACTACTTTGACACAAATTTTTTCTATGTTTTTGGATTCAATTGACACTTTTACACCACGTGAGGACGACAATGAAACTTTTACACCACGTGAGGATGACAATGAAACTTTTTTAAAAATGAGGATGAATTTGACACAATTCAACCAAACTGGGGACAAAGGAAGCAATTAAACCTAAATTATATATATAAGGATCCACTTATTCCAGGGCAGAAAGTAGAATAACTTACTCTTAAATCTAAGTCTTTTATTCAATTTCTAATTAACAGATTTTTTTTTTCTTAAAGGAATAAAGTCGTCCATGATTACCTTCTATTTCTATAGGTTTAGAAGTTGTAAGAAGACGACAATTTCTTTTGAAGAGACCATATTACACTACAAATACACTTTTAAAAAAGTTATGCTCCGAAATTCTTAAATGTAGGGGAAGAATATGAATAACAAATAAAGAATACACGTATTAACTGGATATGGATGCTTGTATAAGTATCTATATATTTGTGTCGTTCATTTTTTTTTATTTGTCATAAATTAAATATTTTTTTTATGTTTTGTGTTAGAATGTTTTTATTTTTTTAATGTTTTTATTTATTGTTTATTTGTTCATAAATAATTTAATTATTAGTTAATGTAAAAAAATTATATCTTTTGTTCTTTTATTCTTAATTTTTGTTTCGTTTGAAAAACTTTTTTTATTTTGCTAAAATAATCATTATTATTTATCAACAATTCTACTAGTTTTATGCCTGAAATTTTTTTTTAATCTCTAACATATTTTTATCTTTCGTATCCTTAATTATATATTCATTTTCTTTTATACAATTTCATTCAATAACGACGTATCAAATTGTTTCTATCATAGATTTAATTATTTTTACTTCTTTTTTATATTTTTATTTGTTTCTCAATTTTATCATGCAGAATACTTAATATTTTTTATAAATTATTTAAGTTTAAAGGATGAAGTTAAATTTTATCACCATCCAACATTATTTAAGTTTAAAGGATGAAGTTAAATTTTAATTATTATTACTATAAAAATTTATTAAAGTTTAAAGAATAAGTATAAAGAGACATTTAAAATTTAAATTTGAATATCTGTTTTCTTTTTCTAATCTTTTAAAAATATTTTTAAAATATATTAATTTTGTAAGTTTTGAAAATTTAATATAATTTTAGTTTCCATAAAATTTTATTCAGTATTTTAATTTGAAATATATACCAATATTATAAGATTTTAAAAAATATTTGATATTAAAAAAATGACAATATGTTGAATATTTGATAATATTATCTTTTCTTTATTTATTTTACAATTTTTTAAAAATCAATTAATTGATATTAAAACTGTAAAAAAACAAATATGTGTATCAATATCTATATTTCACTGTATAACAAGTTACTAACCACATTGAAATCTTAAAAATACACATATATCCCAATAAAGAAAAGAAAAAAAAAAAGAGAAAGAGTGACTTAAAATAGTGGAGTGAAGAGTGAACTTGAAATAAATTTAATAAGTTATTACTGAAAAGAGAAAACACATAATGTAAAGAATGTGAAGGAATAATTTTTAGTTTATGAAATATATTTAATGTGCATTTGAGTTATTAATTAGTACTAAATTGAATTAAATTATAAATTATTTATTATATAATATTAACAAAATATATTAAAAAAATGTGAGATGTGACTAAAAGAAAGAAGAAATTAATACAAGAAAAAAAAATTACAGAAGTAAAAGGAAGGAGACTTGTTTTATACATTTCTTCATAACCTGACCTTTTTTTTATGAAATATAATTCTTTTTATAATTGTAAAACATATTCAATTCTTTCTATGCTTTGTTGCATTCCATATTTATTTTTATAACACACACACACATATATATATATATATATATATATATATATATATATATATATATATATATATAGATATATATATATATATATGTATGTGTGTGTGTTAAATTTTATTTTTTTCATGAAAAAGAAATTGAATACACTTATTTTTTAATTATTCTTAACTTCTAATTAAAAACTAAATAAAAAAAATTAAGAGTAATCAAATGAATCTATACTCTTATATATATAAATATTAGAATAAGAAAATACTTTAGTTCGGATAAATAATTTCATAATTTTAAGATATTTAAATATGTTAAATAAAAATTCATCTTATTTCAAATTATTTTATTTTTTAAATATTTCACTTGCATCAATTAATTTAATTTTAGAAAAATCTATTTTTTATTTAAATAAAATATGTTTTTATTAAATGTAAATAATTATTTTTTAAATAAAAATTAATATTAATAATTTTCTAGTTGGTCTTGATATTATTTTTCAGTTAAAATTTATCAAGATTTTTCAATTGATATTAAGAAATTACAGAAGTAAAAGGAAGGAAACTTGTTTTATACATTTCTTCGTAACTTGACCTTTTATTTTTTTTTATGTAATATAATTTTTTTTTATAATTGTTAAATATGTCAATAAGAAAGTGTGAAAATTGTATTTTCAATTCTTTTATGCTTTGTTGCATTCCATATTATATTTATTTATAATTTTTTCAATGAAAAAGAAATTGAATACACTTTATTTTTTTTAATTAGTCTTAACTGCTAATTAAAAGCAAAATTTTAAGAGTAATCAAACGAATCTATACCAATACCAATACCAATACCAATACTACACTTTATATATATTAATTAGAACAATACAATACCACATTCGTAAAAGACAACTTCTTTGAAGGTTGATGTGGTACCTTTGTAACTATTGCAATCATTGAGAATCAGAAGATGGTAGGTACGATCTTACATATATAAACCCGAATTCGTTATGTCAAAAAACACACAGACAACAATGAAGAAGATCAGTGTCTTCGCTTTTTGGTTGATTTTGGTTTTGGTGGGAGTGTTATGTTGTGAAGGGTGTTGGAAGCATGAGAAAGAAGCTCTCGTTAATATCAACAGTGTCTACTTCGAAAACAATTTACCTTGGGTAGACACCACTGACTGTTGCAAATGGGACAGGGTTGAGTGTAACTCCACCACAGGGCGAGTGGTGAAACTTGATCTTTCTGATGGGACTGATTATCATCATGGCTTATGGATTCTCAATTACTCCCATTTTCTTGTGTTTCAAGACATGAGGAATCTCAACTTGTCAGGCAATGACATATCGAGCTGCGTTGAAACCCAAGGTTCCATCTTTTTCTTTTACAGAATCAAACAACGTCTTGTATCAGAAAGTTTGATGTTATATGCTACTATAATATTGATTAATTTAGAACAAATCATAAATATGCAGTGTTGAATTCGTGTTAATTTAAGTCTCGTCTCTTGTCTTGCAGCATTAGGACTAAATAATCTGGAGGTCCTGGATTTGAGTTATAATTTTGGCACCGACAATATCTTATCATGCGTGCTTGAGTCTTCATCTCTTAAGGTTCTATACTTACAAATCAACAAATTCGATGCAACTTCATACCGAGGTAAGCTTCTATACATATTTTTCTAAGTAGTGGAACGTGGAAGAGATTGATAATCATATATTTGAAGTTAGATTGAAGATAACATCATTAACATGACATGAGTGGTAATATTCCTGATCAACTGATCATGCATCGCTAGTGGATTGAATGATATAGTAGGAGAAATATTTGTTGAGGAAAAAGAGCTAACATAATGTTGTTTCTTGTAGGTTTATTCTCCATGTTGGTAAATCTCGAGGTTCTTGACTTGACCATGTGCGAATTCAGGGACGATGACGTTGCATCTGCTTTGAGTGCTCTTCCATCTCTCAAGTCTCTAAATTTAGAATTTTGTACTCAATTGAATTGGAGACCGCTTCATAGTAATGTCACACTTTGCACTTCATATTCTTTCCTTTCCTTATTTATGATTAGTTAATTAACTGTCATCAGTGTGTATGAAGTAGGTTTTTCAAAACTGAGGACATTGGAGATCCTTAACTTGGCTATGGTGGAGTTGGATGACAGTAACTTAAGTAAGGTCTTTAAGTATTGCTTTTAACATCTTCCATTAAATGTTTTCTTAAACATGGTTCACGAGTCTTATGAGAATATGCTACGTCATCATATAACAACTATTAATAACTGGATGATGTATCATGCAGAGAAAGAAGAATTCGCATGGCCATCCAATCTGCAATTCCTTGGACTAAGTGGAAATAGTTTCAGTAAAAAGGTTTTTTCTTCTCTAAAGGGGCTTCGACATCTCAAATCTCTTGATATAAGCAGAAACCAATTGGAAGGATATTTGAATATTAGTGGTTTGTACTTAAATTATCAAGGATTTTTCTTTCCTTTCAGCGTGGCAATCCTTTGTCTGTATTTCTATATATATGTATCTGAACTTGTACCTTTAATTTAACTAAAGAAAGAATTTTATTGTATATATTCTATGCTCAACGAGTGAATAATACTATTAAAATCTACAAATGGTATTTTCAATCTAACCTTTCTTTGTCCCTGGCAGGATTGACATCAAGCAATTTGGAAATTCTTGATTTCAGTCAGAATGATATCACAAATTTTGTAGTCAACCAAGGTATATGTGCAATTGGTGTTTCGTACTCTTAATGTTTAGTTTATATTTCAATGTATTTGTAAATTTTTTCATTTTGTCATCTCTTCTAATTTAGTACTTTTCTCCAAATATAATTTCTCAGATTGGTCTGGGCTTAAGACGTTGAAGGAGTTAAACATAAGCCATAATAAATTCAAGGGGCCACTTCAACCATATTTTTCTGACTTCTCATCCCTTAGGAAGTTGGATCTTTCTAATAACGACTTCACTGGTAATATTGTTTCTAGGCTTGCAAGTCTTACATCCCTAGAATATCTTGGTTTTGAAAGAAACCAATTTGAAGTCCCTATTTCATTCACACCATTTTTTAAGCATTCCAATCTCAAGTTCATCTATGGCAATGGGAACAAAGTCATACTGGACTCACACTCTTCTATGAAAAATTGGGTTCCGAAATTTCAATTGCAAGTGCTCAGTTTGTCTTCAACGACTGAGTCGCATTCTCACCCTATTCCTAGCTTCCTTCATTACCAATACAATTTGACACATCTGGATTTCACTGGATGTAAACTAAAGGGAGAGTTTCCAAAATGGTTGCTGGAAAACAACACAAAAATGACAAACCTTGTTCTTAAAAATTGTTCCTTCACTCAATTCCAGGTGCCATCTCATCCCCATCTCCACCTTGCAGAAATGATTGTATCCGACAATGCTATATCAGGTCAAATCTCGAGCCACAATATCAGTTCATTTTTTCCAAATTTGGAAACTCTAGATATGTCTGAAAATGCAATCAGTGGTTCAATTCCTCGTGAATTTGGCCTAATGAATTTACTGCAAACACTGGATCTCTCAAATAATCAATTGTCAGGAGAAATTCCCCGTGAGCTAATCAACATTAGCTCATTACAAACATTGGATCTTTCTGATAATCAGTTAACAAAGGTCATATTTGGAGTTGGTCACAAGCACACAGGAAGCGTTAGTTCATTGGATATAAGCAATAATCAATTGGTGGGGAAAATTCCAAGCCTCATTAAAAATATGTCAGGATTGGAGCATCTTAGTATGTCCAATAATCATTTTGAAGGATCTATTCCGCTGGAATTGGCAGAACTTAAAAATCTAGTTTATCTAGATCTCTCCCAAAATAATCTGACTGGTGAAATTCCACCTTTTATAAGTTCTTCAGTTAAGAGTATCCATTTGAACAACAATCATTTAAGTGGGCTGTCCAAAAGAACGTTCCGAGGAGGTTCTTCACTGGAGTTGCTAGAACTTAGCCACAATGAAGTAACCCATAGCATTCAAGACATGGTAGAAGACCTTAGTTTTATAGATTTGAAGATTCTTCTTGTGAAAGGTAATCACTTCAATGGAGATATACCAAGTGAGTTATGCAAGTTGAAAGGTTTAACCATACTAGACCTTTCTCACAACAATTTAACTGGTGTGATACCCAAATGCTTGGGTAGAATGCCTTTCTACAATGTATACCCTGAGGAACTACGTAGATTGTTTTATGGCATCATTCCTATTGAGCACAATTCTAGATTTGAGAAACGGTTACCAGATGTGGAAGAGAGAGCAAATTTCACTACAAAGGGGAGAACTGACACTTACATGGGGAGTATCCTTGCTTACATGTCTGCAATTGACTTATCCCACAATAAACTTAAGGGCAATATCCCATCTGAGCTTGGAAACTTGGAAAGTATTCAATCATTGGATTTGTCGAATAATGATTTCACGGGGAAAATTCCAACTACATTCTCCAAGTTGCGTCAAACAGAGAGTTTAGATCTTTCATTTAATGAGTTGAGTGGCCAAATTCCTTCACAATTGAGTGAATTAACCTTTCTTTCTTCATTCAATGTATCTTACAATAACTTGTCTGGTGCAATTGAGAGAAAAGGACAATTTCTGACGTTTGAAGAAAGCTGCTTCAGGGGTAATCCATTACTCTGTGGACCTCCACTAGCAACAATTTGCAATCCTGCACCTGTTATTTTCCCAAGTGACTCGGACAGTGGAAACAATGGTAATTGGGTGGACAAGTTCGTTTTTTGTGTGACCTTTGCCGTGTCATACGCATCATTTTTGTTGGTAACTGCAGCAGCTTTGTATATTAATCCTTACTGGAGGCAATTATCCTTTTACTATGCAGAACTGGTGAGCCTGAATTGCTACTACTTTATCGAGGACAACATGTGCAAGTTATGTAATCTTGGAAATGTGTAACATATTACCCTGTATGTCTAAAACATCACTGTCTTGTGTGTTTACTCTAAGTGTGATACAATAGTTAATTAATTATGTATACGTTGTATGAAAATCGTATGCACTTTCTCTTTATAAGCGGTCACTAATACACTCTAACTTAAGTTACAAGAGGGACAATGTGGCTTAACCAGTCTAGTATCAGAACATGTATCAAACTATTCTCATGGGCGAAATATTAACAAACAAAAAGCTCAAGACTAGGTTGTATAAAAAGGATCCCTACTAGGATCTATTTCCAAATTGAAAGTCTAACTTCCTTTGATAGAGTTTTATTGAAAATTTTCTGCATAGGTGTGCCATAGACATGAACCTTCCTTCAGTTAACTATGAAACATAGAGACTCAAATTCCACGATGATAAACCCTTCTTCTACCAAAAATCAAATTGTTAAGGATAATATATAACGGAGCAAATGAAAAGCAAACCAGGAGAAGCTTTTCGTAAAAGGGGATTCTACCAAAATGTACTCTTCAAGGCGTTAGTCTAAAACATTAGATTGTTGGTAGAAAGTGTTGGGAAAAAACTTTAAAGGTTAGAAGGAAGTGTTTAAGATTGGGAGAGGTTGGAAGATTTTGAGAGAAGAGGAAAGGCTT